CCCACAAAGCTGTTCAGAAGCATCGGCTGTGAAATCCCTCTAGCCCGGAGCCACAACATGTCAGCATCTGCTGCCGCTGCTTCTTTTCCAGGCTGCGGTTCGATCAAACAGTAAATCCAGCACTGGTGTCCCAGCAACCGGATTAAAAAAAAAAGGAGAAGAAGAAGAAAACTCAGCTGCACAGCACAGGGGATTCACATGGCATAAACTTTCCACCAGTTCAAATTTGCTTAGAAATGACACTGCTAAGTTAATTTTGTCCCACCCCCCTCGATGTCATCATGCCCATCACATGTACCCCTTTCCTCCCAGCTGCATGAGGCCGTACAGCCCCTGTGTCCCCTTTGGTCCCCAAGCAGGATGCCCTGTGAGGGATGGGCTCAATCCGGCACAGCCCGCGGTGCTCCTGGCACTGCAGCCACTGGGGCATCTGCATTCAGCATCCCACCACTTTGTCATTTGTTTGGTTTTGCTAGACTCTAATGTTTAAACTGAAAAGTCCATTTATTACCCCAGAAAAACACAAGGAATTTTTTTTTGACATACAAATTCCTTGGCTTTTTCAGCTGAAAGAAAGATCTATCGGTCTGTTTATTAGCTTTGAAAGCTTTCTATGCCTCTGAGGCCTCTGCTGACTCGGAGTTACGGTAATACTGGATAACTCGGGTATTAATGCCAAGTTGCAAATGAGGTTTGCTCCGCTGGGCCAGCTCTCAAAAGGAATGAATGTTGTAGGTCTGAAACTGTGTCTGTGGTCTCATAAAAAAGCACAGCTCTCCTGGTTTTCTATTTCTTTGCCATTAAAGGAATGATTTCATCCTGCCCTTCGCTTGTCCTCTGGTTAAAGTTTGCCTCCCTGGCAAAAGGTTCAGTGGCCTATAAAAGCGCAACTCAAATTTGGAGACTTACCCAATATAATATCCCAAAATCCGCACTTCGTCATCAGCAGTAACTTTACACGCTCACAACCCCTGTTGAACTGCTTCTTCATTCCTGGCTTGCAGTTAGCCACTATTTCACCAAGCAAACCCCCTCTGACCTGGCTCCGGTCTAACACCGTGGCCAAACCAGCTCTGTTTACACCCGGAGATAGCCAGGCTGTAATCAAACACCCTGGCTCGGCCAGCCGCCACGGGGACTGCAGCACTTTGCAGCTGCGTCCCAGTTCGTAAAGGTAGTCCCTGTGGTTATTTCACCAGCCCCTTTGCTTCCAGTGAGACTGAGATGTGGGAATTCACCTGCAGGGTAAATATCTTAAATAAATAGTGCTTGCACCTTCCCAACAGGGTTTCCTGGCTGGCGGTGATGCCGGTTACGGAGCAGGGCCACGCTGCCCGTGCATGCATGCTGCCTGGCTCGGGATTCCCCTCCTTTCCCTTGTTTCCAACTTGCTGCGGTGTAGCCATAAAATCAGGCAGAACCATCAACAGCGCTTCCAAGAAATGAATGCAACCAGCAAAAATTGGGCTGGAAAACAAAATCCATTCTGCTTCCCTTGCAGAAAGTTCATGGGAGCTGCCTGCTCTGCCCCTCCTCAGACAGACTCCTGTAAATTGATATATTAGCAGGCCCTGGTTCTCCGAGCCAAGCTTTGTAATATGGGTGCCCATACGGAGGAGAAGGGCGTATTCATATGGCCAAGGGCAGGAATACCGTGAGACGTTTTCCTTCCCACGCCAGAGCAGAATCTCTCTGCCTCCGAGCTGTACAAGCAGAGGATCCAGGTTTTGTCCTGGCCCTCAGGGCTTGGTCCCCAGGGACGGCAAAGGAAACTCTTCCTGGACAGCGGATCCGTGCAGATTTCCGGGCTCTGACAGAAGGCAGGATCCAGCCAACAACAGCAACAAAATTTGCGCTCCCTTTTCTTGCTCCCCTCTTAGCCACCCTCTAGCCAGGACCTTGCTTCGACCCTCGTGGCTTGCTTCAGAGCTCTGGAAGTCAGATGACTTTCCCTGGAGCCTCCAGGCTTGGTTCCAACTTGAAACCTCTTCTGCTAGAAGACACCCCCCTGCCACTGTCCACCCTCCAAGTGCCCCCCAGTTACAAGCAGCTTAGCACAACCTCAGAAGCTGTCGGTTAGCAGTGATGCGCTGGCTACTGGCCTGCACACAAATAGCTGTATTTCACAAATAAAGCAGGTTAATTTAAGCCACCACAGTCTGCAACAGTCTGACAGCTCCCTAAGGGTCCTTATAAAGCTCAGACTTAGGCAATCATCGGACTTGCAATGTATTGTAATGCTCTGTAGACCTTTTAAATAGAGTGGTCTGGCCAAGATGTGGCTGGATTTAGTTCTGTGCTCAAAGACAGAAGTGTGTCCGAAAAAAGTGAATGCCAAACAACTAAAGGGGTTCCCAAGACTATTTTACCGAAATAATTTCAATCCAGATGATACGTAAAAGATGGCTCTTTTTAGAAAGAGGATACCCTTCCCTTCATTTAAGAAACAAAAGCTCACAACGAACATGCTCTGATATCTCCTAAGTCCTTCACCAAAGCAAAAAGTAGAAGCAGTAAGTTTGTATGTTAATTGCATAATAAAAGGTACCTGAGTTTAGACTTGTACAGTCAGTTCTGCCACACCCGCAAGCATATTTGTTTAAAACGCATCAGCCTTGACTACAAGGACTCACTAGCACAATAAAATAAAAAAAACACAATTCTCTATTTTTGTCTTGCTGGTAAATTTCAAATCCTTGTTTCTGTTCTGGGTGCATAATTGTTCCTGGCAAGTGCCAGCGGGTCTCAGGAACTTGTTCTGCAAAGACACAAACTGGGGACTGATCGGTTCAGGGAGGAAACCAAAGGACGCTGAGGAACCCTGAAGGACAGAAAATGGGTGCCTGATGTGGAGCCCTTGTTGTGGAGTGACGAACATCACCTCTTAGCAGCAGCCAGAGGTATGAAAAAAAATAAAGCTGCTCTATCCGAATTGAGCAGAGCAGGGAGTTGCTTGAGGCTTCCCAGACTGACCTGCCCTGGTCACCGTGGCTGCAGAAGGTTCCCACTGGGCAGCGTGGAGAGGACACCAAAGGACTTGCAAGGGACAGAGAAAAGAAGCAGAGTGGTCTCCAACTTTAAATAGCCAGCTAACTCACCAAGGTAACCTCCCGGCTGGGCCTCATGTGCAGGAATGGAAAGGGTGGTGAAAGCATTTAGTATCTCGCCTGACAAAGCTGCGTCACTCCCATCGGTGGTGCGTGATGTGCAGAAGGCCCAGGAGACTATTTTTTTTCCTGGTACTATGGCATGCTGTAGGTCAAGGTTATAATGCACGGGTGAACCCCACACATAACAAAGCTGGTGTCTGTTGACTCTCACAGCTGATTGTTTTGGAACAATAATTCACATTTGCCTCCCTGGATACAGAGAACTGAATAACAACTTGGATTACCACTGTGGCAGTCTTGCCCTGAGGACTTGTTGAAGAGTAAACCACCACTTCTGCTATTGACAGCCTCTGCTTTGATAACCCTCCAGGGCAGAATGTAGGATATTTTCTAAGCATCAGTCATGAAAAACCACTTCCCTTTCCGGTCCTACACAGGGCAGGCAATCAGCTCATTCCTCCTGGGCAAGAAAGCCGGCTATTTAAAACATGGTCACCCAAGCTCCCCCGATGCAGGCACAGGCTGCTGCCCTAGTTAGGAGCTCCCTGGTGCAGGGCAAATTAGATCACCGTAATGCAATATGGGATACGGGAATGATCAGCATGAACACTGTGACTTTGATCTCAGTGATGGGAAGAGCAGCATTTCACTCGACACCAATCTTATGCCCTTATTCCCAGCACACTCCGATGCCCCTTGTTTTTTTAAGATACCCTTTGGCTTTTATTCTCCGCTTCATTTGCTTTTGATGCAGGAATTTGAGACCTAGCTGAAAATGGTATTTTTAGAAAGGTGAACATTGATCACTGATTTTTTTCTAGCAAAGGTCAGCTGCAGGAGAGGAACAGCACAATCCTGCACTGCTTGGGACATAAGCTCCCAAGAAGAGCATAAGGCAGGGTGAAAGGAGTATCAGCTCATCTCTCCTGGGGCGTACCAAAAACAGGTAAGATGGCACAGGACCACATTATCCATACTCAGAAATCCCCACATTGCCAGGAAAACAGATTCAGGGGAACAACTACCACCTCATTTAGAGCAATGCTGCCAAAGAGATCGCTGGGGGCATTGCTACCCCTCTGGCCAGTGAGCAATTACACAGACCAGGAGACTCATCCACACCACACCTCTGTGCCCACAAAATCCTGAGGGCCCTCCAGTCTCAGCCTTCAGAGAAGAATGAGGATTGGTGTTTTAACACATTGAGCCAGACTCTTCTCAGAGCTGTGCAGTGGGGAAAAAAAAAAAACCAACAACAAAGCACAAAAGAACGCAAGAGGCAGTAGATAAGCTGCAATAGGGACACTTCAACTAGTTCAGAAAACACCCCGAATTCTCAACAACAAAGGTGGTCAAATGTTGAATGGGGCAATCAAATGTCAACAGCGCAACCTCCATCCTGTGAGATATTCAAAGCTTTCCCCAACAAGGCACTGAGCAACCAGGACTAACTTCAAAGCTTGCCCTGTTTTAGTGGGGTTGCACCAGAGACCTTCAAATACCCCTTCGGATCTAAACTGTCTTATTGACTTACTGGACTAGGCCCTGATTTGGGATTTTTCCAGACAGGAGAAGACAGTAGGTAACAGGAAAGATATCTAAGATCCCCTAGGCAAGAACATGCTTGGCAAATAGCTTGGTTTGGTATTGCGTTTTAGCCTCACAAGAGATGGACACTGCCAAATCACTCTACAAGGGTTCTCCATCCCACTGGAGAGAGGAAGATACACAGAAAGCAAATCCATAGTGTTGTGCTCCTAGGGAGCGGAAAGATGCAGGATTTAGCAGGCACAAACCACACCCTGGTGCTTGCCAGGAAGCTGATGAACAGTTCGTTAGATCTTCTCTGGGTCAAAGATTCAAAGTCAGAGTTAAAAAACAAACACAGACTAAGTCTGAAGTCACTTTATTGAAAAATTTCATACAAGAATTGTCAGTGGCAAAAATACTCAAGTGTGATACAGCAACACCACAGACAAGCTCCTTAACACATCTCAAATTGAGGCTGATTCATTTACAAACGGCCACTGTCTCCACATTCTCAGCTTTCCAGAGACATGTGCAAGCATCCTGGCATGTCAGTGAGTTTCAGTGCAGCACAGGGAGCAGAGTCTGTCTTTACATCAAATAAGATTAGCTATGACTCTGATTTTTCCTGTAAGAGGTATGAAAGGCCTTGTAGGTCTGTTGAGAATGCTGTTTGCAACATAAGGCATCATTTCCACCCACCCCAGCTCATTCACTGACTGAAAGCTTGTAACAAAATATTTTGCCAATAAAAATCTTTTAGAAAACTAGTATAAAAAATTGCTATATATAGCATAAAACTATCAAAAAGTGACTGTGCCAATTTTCCCTTTACACAAATAGTATTCTTTAAAAAAAACACAACACATTACATTAGAAATTCACACAATATATAACATATTGTGTCTTTCTGAAATACTCTGTGCAGCAGAAGCCCCATAACTGCCCCCCCCAGGCAGTTACAAGACAGACCAGTAGCTCCCCTTTATTTCTGCTGTCTCTACAGCAGCTGCCAAGAATTTGGCTACGGTGGTTTTAGGATTTAGAAAGTGGAAAGCTGCAAGATGGCAAACCAAGTGTTTGTAAATCAGTACCATTCCTTCCCAAAAAGGAGAAAAAACCATCACAGGAATCTCTTGATTAAAAAGATATTACCTGTTGCTGGTGTCAGTGAGACAATACAGTACCTGCAGCATCTTTCAGTCATTTCTGGTCTAATAAGAACATACAGCCGAGCCACAGGAGCAAATAAAACCACATTGGCTTACTTTGTTTCATGAAAAAACACTGTAAGACACTGACAGACACAGGGTTGTCAGCCTGCTGTCTGGAAATAATTAATATTGCTTGTTCCCTAATTCAATTTTCAGCAACCTGGAAGGTGTTACATAGAAGAGCAATCACTATCTTGCCCCTTACTTTTCCAGGCACAAGATTCAAAGCCCCTGCAGCCTTCATGCACAGCTATGCAGGAAAGGAGCTGAATCCCCAGGGGTTGAAGGTACTGCTGTGTGTAAAACCCACTCTGTATTTGGTGACTTAATCTTCTCAAATAACTCAGCAAGAACTTAGTAACTCTCTGCATAACCTTGGAGAATACCAGGAGTAGGCTTTACATTTGAGGATGTAACCAATCAGATGACTTGCTTCTCTAAGAAAACAGCAGTAACCCATTCAGATACATTTAGCGTAGGGATTTTTTTTGTTAGGGGGGATTTTTGTTTGCTTTCTTCAACAGAGAGCTGGCAACAGCCAGAGCACCTCCCTGTACAAAGCGTACAAAGTTATCTCCAGCTAGAGGTCCTAGAGCATAAAGCCCTTTCTCCTGAGTGCATTCATAGGTGAATGGGTCAACATCTATGGGATTCCTCTTTGGATTGACTGGTTGGTCACTGTCCATTGCCAAGTCAATGCCATTATTTGGCAGAAAGGAGAGGTTGGGGTTTGAGCCAGTTAGAACAAGAGCCATGGAAATTTTATAAACTTTCTGGTAGCCATTCTTGTCTTGAAAGAGACATTTCTTGTCCTTGCCAAAGGATAGCACATGATGTTCAGGAAGGCTAATGTAACAGTCATAGGGCCCAGCACAAGCAGCTGACTGTTCTTTCATCATCTGATGGACTTTGTGGTATTCAGGGTACATCATTTTGGGGAGCTGGTTAAAAATAAGACCCGGATCGCTGACTCGTCTCCGAAAAACATGGATTACTGGAATATTGCAATGGTGAGCAAAGAGAATCGCATCAGCAGCTGTCAGACCAGCACCTACAATCAAGACTGGATCTGACATGATGCCAATGCTGCTGTTCTTCACTGCTTCCTCTAGGGCAGACAGCTGGTGATGGACATAGGAAAGGTTCTCTCCCTTGACCCCAAGCCAAGTAGGACTATCGTATGTTCCTGTAGCTAAGACCACATTCTCTGCATAGACGGAGAAGGGCTCTTTATCACCTTTCACAGTTTTGAAAAATCCATCCACCTGAAAGACCTCCATTCTTTTCTCATTGAAGTTCCAGAGTGAGTCACTATTCTCCTGCAGATCTTTCTGTGCGTGGTTGGAGATGCTCTCTGCACTCACTTTCCTCACAGAGGTCACAACAGTACCACATCTGAAATTCTTCTGCAGTCCTTTCTTCATCACATAGTGTTGGTAATATTGAGCAATGTCTTTTGCTGTGGCTCTATTGTTTCTGAGGCCTCTGTAATAAGTAGAAACAAAGGTCAAGCAGCAGTTAAGTAAGAGACTGGAATTTCTCCCCTCTTCCACTGAATGTATCCTAGAGCCATCTATCCTGGCACTACCAGAGAAGACTTAACTAGTTTCCCTGACTTCAGCAAAGTTATTCCTGGTACATAGAGCTAACACTCAGGTCCACAAGCTGTTGGACAGAGGCAGCTTTCTCTAGCATGAATCCCATCCCTAAGAACATGGTTCCTCATTTATGCCTTCCTCTCACATCTTGCCTCTATTCCATTTTTAACTCCTGGACTTTTTAAGATTAACCGTTACGCATCTCAAGAGCAGAAGCACCTCAGAGACAGCACAGTAGCTCAGCTGATTATACTTGTCATTAGGGACAGCAGCAGTAGACACAGAAGTCAGATGACCATGCCTTTTCCAAGCTTTATTCAGAACTCATGGTCACTGTGATCCATCTCCCCAGCGGGCATTGAGCAGGACACATTCTGAGTAGCATTGCAACTTTACCCGAATCCATTCTGCATTCAGTGATTTTTACTGGGGGGTGGGAGAGTGTCCTTTCTCTCACTAGAATCATCCGTAACAGATGGGTGGCTACATTCAGGAAGTCCACTCCACTCCAGGCTCCCAAATAACCTCCGGATGTTTGCAAATAATCACATCATAGATATCTTACCTTCTCTTTTGCTTTAGCCAGTCCTTGAATGGGAGATCTGGGAGTCCCATCCATTCCCCTCTGCTCAAGGTAATCATAGAGCCCTCAATAGACTGGAACAAGAAACACAGTAAAATGACTTTTAGTTATTTAATATAAGAAGTGAAATGCAATTTTCTCATATTTCAATATGGCACAGATCATTAAATCAGTGATTTCCTCTGATCTGCCGTCATGGATGATCATCCATGTTGTCCAAAGAGAACAACAGACTGGAAATATAAATGCCTCTCGTGCTTTTTTTCCTTTTAAACTTCTGCTTGTTTATATACATAAAATCAAACGTGGCTGACTGGCATATTAGAGGAGCTTTTGCCTCTCCAGTCAACACATTTGGCTATCTTACAACATGCAGACCTAAGCAGTTAGGCTTCACTTCACATACATGCCAGGCACCTCCAGGAGCGTTTCTGCCAAGGACCAGGTGGGGGACGGCTCTGTTGGTCTCGTGCCACCAAGTGAGGACAGATTCTGCTGTTCCACCAAAGTCTGTGTCTGGACGCTGAAGAGTATCAAACAGAAGAGCCACAGGGCTGTGGGATCGTCCCTCCAAGCCTTCAGACAGATATTCCAAATCCTAGAGAGAGGCAGATCAGATGCTCAAAACGCATATCCTGCCAGGCAGCAGACTGCTTGTTACTCCAGTATTTCCAATCAGTGGTTTTGGTGTTCTATGAAGCTCGTTTACTGGCACACAGACTCTGTTATTGCCCAAGGATTACCTCAAGGATCCAATGCTGACATTTCATACAAGGGAGATCTGGACAACTAAAAGTACTTTGCTTAAGGCTCATTCTGTCTGTGTACTTTGAAAATTCAAATGAGGTTATAATTTACAATATACCCCTAGGATGCTTTACTATAATGTTATACTGTTTCTCTTTACACGAACCTGGTCCAAAATGGAGATATCTGGTGCCTCTTCCAGTTTCCTCTGAAGAATGGGATGAGGATGAAGAGAGTCTCTTTTGAAGTAAGGGATGTAGCCTGACAGCAAATATGAGAGACAGATTCCTGAAGGTCCATTCCCTAAAAAGACACAATGGAGAAGAATTTATACTCCTGCAGATAGAGCAGCCCTTTGAGAAGTGTTTCTAATATCCAGACCAATTCAAAGGATAAGACACTGCTGCCAATACAGGGGACTTTCTATTCCAGGTTGACCACTGACCTATTCGATGGAGTTGGGGAAGTTGTTTTACCCTTATGTCCCCTTTTCCTCCTCAGTTGCATCTCTTTGCATTGCAAGGTCTTCAGAACTTGCTGAAAAGACATTGAGTTAAACAAGCCAGAGGTTAACCTCACCTGAAGCTTGAAGTCTCTAGCATGCTGACGAATTGAGTTACTGCTCATTAACTTCTTTAAAGGTTTAGAAACTGGTCACATACTGGTTGGGGGTCTCAGCTCTCCTGGATGCACATTTCACACCAGTGCAGAGTAGTTCACTGTGCACAGGATACAGAGTAAGTCCAGAAAAGAGAGTGACTATTCAAATGAAGGGGAAACAGCTCTGCTCAGTAAGAAATCCCATCTAATAAGGGATATCTGGCAATAGCAGTTTTGACTAACGGGTCCTGAGGACACTTTCAAATGGGAACCGGCCCTACCATGGTACCGCAGGCAGTGTGTTAAGGAAAAAAAAGTCTCTCTGCCATGCCAAGACACTCCCCCAAGAATACAGTACTTTGAACAGGTTGCTGGATGCCTGCTGACCACCCAACAGCCAGTGGAAAAACTTGATATATGTGACTGCAAAGCCCAGTGAGAGTAGCCCGTGGAAAGTTTTCACATGGCTGTTCTCCAGTATGTTTAGTATTTTACAGTGTCTGCATAACCAGGTGTCAGCTTCTCTGGCTGCTCAGGCTTTGCTGCTCACTAGTATGTGACTAACCACCATTACATAATGCAGTGACGATGTAGGGGAGGAGAGCTGAAGTGACACAGCAGCCTGCAGCAGGCTGTGTTGACCCAGTGCCCGTGCTGCATGTATGAGTGACTGGAGCAAAGGCTGCTTCTTGGGGATTTGAGATAGAGGGAGGCTCAGGCTGTAACACTAACAGCGAGCTGAGCTATGTGAAGGGCAGTACGTGCCACAGCTGGGGCCAAAGTCTGCTTTGCTGAGCGAGGACCAGCAGCTGCAGGTCAGTGTTTGGAATATTCCACTTGCAGGAAAGTTATCTAAAACCAACAGCAACAGTAATTAAAAGCAAACTAAACTGTAGCTATAGTAAAATGTAACACCTTTCAGCTTACTCCTTTGCTTTAGGAAGTACAAGGAGGTATTTAAGCCAAACTTCATCATTTGAGTGCACAACACTCAGCAACACACACAGAGTACTTACTCTGAACCACACCTAAGTTTGATATGGATGGTCACAAGCTCAGCTGCTTCTGGGGCTCAAACTATTCTAGAAAGCAACTGCTTTCATGAGGCTGCCAGCACAGCAGAGGGAGTCCACAGCCTTCTCGGAGCAGGGCCTGGGGAAGTAGCTGGAACCTGTGTGCAATGTCCAGCTGCAGTGAAACAGCAGCTTCAGTCCCACAGCCTCCTCAGAGTGCACATCCTCACACTGGTGCTTGTGAGGCTTTAGTGATATATCCACATTGGGTCCTTGTATAGGTGCACTAGGGATGTACCAAAATATCCTCCCTCCCACCTAAAGACTTGTACAACTGGGCAGTACAAAGTCACTCTCAGACTAGAACCTGCTGGTAGTAGTGTCCTTGTCAAACTCACTGTTAGCAAGGATTAAGTGTGATTTATGTGGTGCACTAACTTTGGACTAGCTTTCTTGGGGGCTATAAATTAGATGACAGATAAGGAAGGAACCCAGCTCTACGAGGCATTTAAACAGATGCTCAGATGAACAGGGTCCAACACCTGCGCTCGAGCACAGCTCATGGTCGGTCACAGAGGGGAAGGCACTGACATCACTACTTGTGCTTTGCTCCAAGAATCACCTCACATTACAAAGCTCCCCTCTTGCAAAGAAGACAAGATAGTTACTACATAACCTGTTTTCTAAACTAGGAGAAAACCCACAGCTTTTTACCATTCTATTAAATCTGTATAAAATCAGCGTAGCTGACTTGCTTTTTAAAAGAAATCAGTAAAAATTGTCATGAAACTTTAACAACATCTGAAGCACTTTCTAATCACACACAATGGGGAAAAAAGATCACATAAACACACCTCTAATTCAAGCACTACAGATAGTTAACTTGCTGTGAAGTGATTATCTGTAGTGAGAAGGTTTCAAACCCTTCTAAATACCCAACAGAGAAAAACCAGGCCCAGCTGAACTGGTGCCCAAAAAGTTACCAATTTTTCTATTAACAAAGAGGTATGTGTTTTAGTTTGTCAAATACCTGGTTCCCTACTTCCCACAATTCTTAGTGGTCTTTCTCTTAGTACTAGAGAAAGTTTGGTTGTCAGGGAAAGGAGTCAGAAACAGTGGCCAGGCATTTCTGGTTTGAGTAAGAACACATGGAACAAGAGCTGAAGACAGCAAGTCCAAAGCAACAACAGCACTAGAGAAAATAGCAATGCTGGCAGCAGCAAACTTACCTATGATCACGACAGGCAGTGGCTTGGACCCACTCTTATTTTGGGGTCTGTTCAATAACGCATACATCTTCCTGTCCGGAAGCATTTAGGTCCTGGAGTCTACCTGTTAAAACAAGTAAGTTTTGAATTATTTGCTTTTTTGACAAAACACAGGACTTTCTATAGCCTACAAACCCAGGCTGATCTAAAGTATTATCCTTGCGTTGCAGACCATCACATTACACTTCCACACTCAGGACAGGCCTGCTTATCTTCTCCTCCTGCCCCCAATACCGAAGGATGATTCCCTGATTATACCATAAAAAAGGGAGAGGACCCTTATCTTTCTCTTCCACACACAAATTCCAGGCCCTCCAGAACAGCTGGCAACTTCAGTAACTCTCTGACTACAGTAACTGATGTGTTGCAGCTTGTTAAAGAAAACTTTGCTTTTGCCCATACTGTGTAGAAAAAATTATTGCCATAATTACCATGAACCCATTCATGAATGCTTTGTACTTTTTAAAGCAACTTGTGCATTTATTTATAAGTAGAGCAAACCTCACTCAAGACTTTGGCCCAAAGACTGGAAATCTCTTGTCTGCATTTTCAAATATGTGCCATTCCATCACTAAAGGGTTTTTTGGGAAGTGCTAGTTTAGTTCCTGAACCTTCTTTCTTAATTTTCCAGAAACTAGAGAGTTCTCGGTCTGAACAAGTAAATAACAACAAGTCTTTAAAGAAAATATACAAAAAATTATTATCTTGGAGAATAAGGTGTCATTAGAATGGAATCCACAAAACTCATCTGATTGTTGTGCAGATATTCAATGAACAGTGAATCAAAGTTTTTTGCCATTCCTGCAGGAATCCTACCATGTCAAATAATGACTTCTTTCATTTTCCAGGGAATTCAACTATACTGTCACTAATCTAGAGAAGTTAAAGAGTTATTTTTACCACAGTGAAAGTGAAATTTTCAAAATTCAGCACAAGCTTTTAAGTTATTCTACAGAGAACAGAGTCTTTTCTAAAAACATTACTCTCATTTTGGAAAGCTAAGTAAAAATTCACTGAATGGCATGACTTTGTTCAGTGGGGCATGCTCTCCACACCCTTTTCAAGCACAGAAAGGTCTTTGGCAAGCACACTGCACGCTCCCATAAGGTCTGGCACATCACTGCCTTTGACACAGGTATTGCAGCAAATGTCATCCTACAAGTGTAATGCTCCACTTTAAGCCTGACATTTACATCACCAGCAACTACAGTAATGTGGTAAGACCCTGGTGATTGAATGGGCAGCCAGAAAACCACAGGTGAGTTTAGGATTCACAGAATCCCAGGCTTCAGGAGGAGTCTTGTAAGTGCATTTGCCTGCAAGGATGTGACAATGTATGTTAACTGTATGAGATTCAACAAGGCCAAGTGCCGGGTCCTGCACTTGGGCCACAACAACCCCATGCAGCGCTACAGACTTGGGGAAGAGTGGCTGGAAAGCTGCCCAGTGGAAAAGGACCTGGGGGTGCTGGTTAACAGCCGGCTGAACATGAGCCGGCAGCGTGCCCAGGCGGCCAAGAAGGCCAATGGCATCCTGGCCTGTATCAGAAATAGTGTGGCCAGCAGGAGTAGGGAGGTGATCGTGCCCCTGTACTTGGCACTGGTGAGGCCGCACCTCGAACGCTGTTTTCAGTTTTGGGCCCCTCACTACAAGAAGGACATCGAGGTGCTGGAGTGTGTCCAGAGAAGGGCAACAAAGCTGGTGAGGGGTCTGGAGAACAAGTCTGATGAAGAGCGGCTGAGGGAACTGGGGTTGTTTAGCCTGGAGAAAAGGAGGCTGAGGGGAGACCTTATCGCGCTCTACAACTACCTGAAAGGAGGCTGTAGCGAGGTGGGGGTCGGTCTCTTTTCCCAAGTAACAAGCGATAGGACGAGAGGAAATGGCCTCAAGTTGTGCCAGGGGAGGGCCCAGGGAAGTGGTTGAGTCACCATCCCTGGAGGTATTTAAAAGACGTGTAGATGAGGTGCTTAGGGACATGGTTTAGCGGGCATGGTGATGTTGGGTTGACGGTTGGACTCGATGATCTTAGAGGTCTTTTCCAACCTTAATGATTCTATGATTCTATGACAATTCTCATATACACCAATATACAGCCATCACTGGACTAGACAGAGTTATTCCAAGAGGACTGGGTTCATCCAAGTAGAGGCACATAAGGCTTACAAGTTGAATTCAAAACTAGCAGCTTTGTCCAAATTTTTGGATCACAGTTTAGTAACACTTACTGGTTGCCTATTACCACTTAACTAAGCATTAGTCTAAGAGACTCATGCATTTTGCCTGACAGGGCAAGAACCACTTAAAAGATATAATAGTCGTGCTTTCTAATTTAAGTCATTTCAAGCATCCAGCTTTGAAGAGAGTTGGATTTCAAGGAAACTTAGGTTCCCAGTTTAATTGAGACTCGAAGGTAGATGCATACACTACGGAAGATGAACACTTCCATGCGTTCTGTCCATACCGAGGCATGCATTAACCCCTTAAGGCATATTTAACCCAACCCTGGTAGCTGCAGGAGCACAGCCTAACTGCCCAAGTATTTCCCCAGCCTTTTGGGTAGGTTCTGCCACATGAATCAAAACCTGCACCACCTTCAGCAGATTGTTGTGTAAATTTACCCCCAAATAATTCCCTGCTACAAAGCTCCAGAGTCGCAATTGGTAGAATTCAGCAGTAGCATCTGGCATGGCCAGAGACACCAAAGGAACAGGACACTGACGTGACCAGTAAGGTATTCCCCTCAAACCAGCTAAACCACAGTACCTATCCGAAGGTTAGCAGACGTTTCCTCTCCATGGTAACAAATAAATCCCTTTCCATGGCTGTACTACGCAAGAACACAAGTTCTTATTAATTTTTCCTAACACAGAGTGCACATCTTATTTCTATGAAACTATTGGGAGTCTGGAAGAGGTAAGCAAGATCTCTGGAAGCAATCTTCCAGGTTTCTGCTCCATAGCACACTGCAGCAGCATGCACGGAAAGACTGTATGTGCTCTGTAGACAGTGGTAACCCAGCAACATCCGTGGGATTTTTGCTGGAAGCAAGGACTAACCCAGGACAGCACATGGCAACAGTTCCAGGAGAGCGGCAAAGCCAGCATATAAATAACGAGCCTGCAAGCCCATTTGTAAGACTTGGGCACAAAGTCATGCCATTGTGTGCGAGCATTTTTCTGGAGGAGCCTGAAGAGGACAAAAAAGGCACAAGATGTTAGAAGTCAGTCTTTTTTGCTTTAGAGGAAGGTTGCGCCTTGGCTCCTGGCCATTGCAATATGCCACCCTACCCCACCCTGATAGAGAGCAAAGCCAGCAGCCGCAGGCTCACTGATAACGCTCCTCATTTCACCCTCCTCCTCCATTCTGTACCTTCTGAGACATCAAAAAGGAGCATTTGCTGGAATTAAACCAAACCCTAATGACTAGAGGAGCACAATTGTTATTCTGATGAAATTACTAGATCCATGCACATACATGACTATTTTTGGCCATGGTTTTATTCAGGATCTGGGTTCACAAAACCCCACAATGACCATTTTAGTGCTACACGCTTTGTTTCCTGAAGTTTTCACACTGGACAATTCTATCAACACAAGATTAACCATCAGAGATGCTTCTGTTTATGCTAGCATGTCTCTACAAATGGGAGAAGTCCCTTCCATATCCTATAGTTGCCATCTTTATAATTCATAGTTAATAATTCTTCTTTTTAAGTAGAAAGTGAACCAGATGTCGAACCTGTTCATAGCTATTCCCATCCTGTAGGCTAAATGTTTGACTTCTGGGGGTAAAACTGAGCTCAGAGCACCTCAGGCATTTTGGTTTCAGGCCAAATGTTCGCTTTTCCTGCCATTAGAAGTAAAGGTGGATTATTTTAATTTTTTTTTTTTTTTGGCAATCTTAGAATCAAGGGACCACATATACCTCCATAACCTGTACAGCTAATACAGTGTAGCAGATGAAAGCCTGTTCTTGCAGAGGCTATTGGAAAGCATACAGGACATATTGAAGTTCATTTCAAATCTATACAGAACTAGTTAGCAGCAAGAGAAAGCCTGAGCTAGCAAAAAAACCCAAGACTGCTCTTCCCACCCTCCTTTTATGTAGAGTAGGCTGCTGGGCACTCACACTTAGTCAACTTAGTGACACTGATCCCTGTTTTGGCTCCTGCTTTAGGCTTCCTACTTTAAACGGGTGTCTCTTTCCTCCTCTTCATTTGGGAGCATGCTGCAAGCTCCACAATTTATCTCCTCGCTGCTTCCAAAGCATTTCAGTGTCTATGTGATGTTACATAATTGTTCTGGCTTGGAAAAGCACCCAGCTCATTCTGGGCCAAACTCTGCATACCTTCCTGACACAGCCTTAAGCCTAGAGGGACTGTAACTCACATAAAGTCGGTCAGCATGGCCCCTAGTAGTTTCAGGCTGCACGATTGAAACAGGTTTTAAGTGAGTAAAAGAAAAAGCAAATATGCATTTAGCAAGACAATGACACTAGATGATCTTTAGCAGAAATAAAAAGCCCAGTTACATCAGCCATATGCAAGTAGCTCTCCCTATAACATCAATGAGAGTTTTGCTCAACTAAGGACCACCAAGAGTGGCCTGTACAGCACAAGGGGAGAGTTCGAGAGCAGTGCAGTCAGTATATATAAATAATGGAAGAGACTAAAAGAGCTACCATGACACTCAGGTTTAAACAAGAACAATGCTAACACAAATGCAACAGTTTTCTTCAGCTTCTTTTCTTCATCAACCCATTCATTTCACCAGCAGTTTTTAAACTTTAATTCATTAGTGCTTTTAAAAAACAGAAATCTCAATAGCTTTTACATTTTATACTTGCCTACAAGTTTCAGAAGTTTGTTTTTCCCCCTCCACTTGCATTATCACTCTTATGTGCCAGGCCAGTTACCCCAGAAACACAAAGTATGTGGAAAATTCACCTTTATGGTACATAAAAGTAATACCTTTCTAAAAACACCCCTGTGATATTCAGAAAGCAATGTTACAGTATGCCAGACATTTACTTATAGCCTTCTTACCTTTAGCAGCAGGTCTGATGAGAAACAAGATCTTTATGAAAATGCCTGTACAGTCAGGAAAGCCAACCAAACTACAAGCCTTGAATCCTGCCTCTGCTCTAAGACAGCTGTTTAAATATAGTAGGCTACCAGCACTAAGAGAGGAGAGGAGGAGCTGAAATGAATGGAGGCGGAGCAAGGAAAATACTTATAAGCATGAGTCAGCAGGACAATTATGCTGCCTCCCTTCCCAGCTTGTGAATGAATGATGTAGTGATTTTCCTTAGTAATGTTCAGCTGACTACATGACTACAGCAAAAGCAGGCTTATAGGAGCCATGCATGGCAGGAGTCCTGCATTGAACAAATATCTTCATTTTTAACCCTCAGGGCAAATTAAAACCTGAGACTTCATAAAATCCAATGCTTCCTGTGGCAGAACTGGGTTTTTCCTCTGTATTTTAAAGGAAAACTGCTAGCTATAATTGCAGGTGGGAATAAAAGCGATAGGATAACACTGTATGCTTGTTTTAAAGCTAGTGATCTTTTTGGCCACAAAAGGACAAGAAAATGTGATGACTTTCTTCCTACTTTGGACAGTTTGTTGTTTTAGTTTCACCTTATTAGTATATCATAGATAGAGTGGGTCTGAAAAATATAGACTTCGGTTTATATTTTTTCTTCAGTGAGATAGTCTTATAAACCTATTGCACAGTAGCAGTAGAATGAGCCAGACTACTTCCTGTAAAACTTATAACATACCAGGATTTTCATCCAAGGTATCTTACTCAACTCAGTGGAATAATCGATCAAGCTTGCTAATTTTAAAGTGCCCTTAACAAATGAAATAAATTTGTGCCAAAGTGTTCAGTTCAAGTAGTAAGCAAGTGCTGCATATTTTTATCTCTGAGGCCATCTATTTTGAAACTACAGTCTCCAGGGAATCAGGACTGCTGATACCCAGTTAAGATGCATACTTTCAACCATGTGTTATAAAAGATAAAAACAGTTCATGAGAAGGAATTCTATACTCTCAAGACCCACATCAAAGTAGGATACTTCATAATCTATTTTAATCCCACCAGAATAAGGTGTTTTAATAAATAGGAAGCCATTGTTTCACTTAAAATTTAACAAACGGTGATCCCTCTGAAAATCTGACTCAGTAAATACTTGTCAGACTGAGGGGTGGTTTTTTTAAGGTCTCTTTCAAGTTGTCTGGGCCTTTATCCAAGGTGGCATTTGCACAGAGCTCTTAAAAAACTCATACTGATTTTTTGACAGGAGCAAAGGCTTTTATATGCATTATCAAGATATTTATTGGCAGGTAACAAATGTGTCCATATCAGTCAAGAAAAAATTAAGCTCCCAGAGAAACTAAGGCATTTGTTCAGTTAGGTGATTTAAGACTGTCCTGCTACGAGGTTTTTAAAAAACCGTCTTCAGTATATTGCAGTGTTGCATGTCAAACATTTTAGAACAAAGATGTTCAAGTCCATACTTGCTCATAGCATAGATACAAGAGGAAACCATATGATGGTTTGGCAGGCTTTATAAGCAGTAAAATCAGGAATACTTCCTATGTGTGCAAACCTGCAGAAATAAAGTTGTCCTCTATGTACAAGAAGAGGAGATAGATCCTCTCCATTTCCCACTAGAATTTGGAAAACTAGAATCTCTATTACCTCTGCAAATAAAGCCAGGATGTCTTTCCAAAACCACAAGCTCTATCATATTTTTGCACACAGTACAATTCTTTACAGGAAAATGTTCATGTACAACAATAACCCACTGTCCTTTATCTGCTTGTACAATAAGACCATTGAATACAGCAACTTGGGGGCTTCTTTTTTATAGATATCCCAACAAAAACATCACATGGAATATATATCAATGTTACCATTTCTCCTTGTGTACCTTGTCTGGAAACAAATAATTCAGCCCAACACTTTACACAAACTTTCCAGAAGAGGAAGTAATTGTGCAATCTGCACTTGGCCTGGCAGCCAGCCTTTGACCTACAAATTTATGCAATTCACTTATTTTTTCTTCCTGATTTATTGCAAGCAGTGTCATTCAGATTAGTTAAGTGCCCAAGTAAAAGCTTATACAGAGATTTCCAGAATGACTTTGCACTATCTCTATTCATAGCTGTCAGAGTATGCAGTTGACTAACAATACGAACTTCTTTCTTTGCACAAACTGACAAAAACATTTTATTGGTGCACAGATTTAAGGGTCTTTAGACGGCTTCAGATTTTTACAGAAAAAACTCTTCTAAACCACTAGGCTCATTCATTGAGGTGTATTACACTATACTGCAGCTGAGATCTAAGGAATCCACATCTCTATCACACAGGGTAAAAACAGATTTGTCAGAATTAAGTGGAAACTGTCAAGAAAATGAATTATTTGCAAGGGTTTCTGCTCTGTTCTTTAAACTTTTTTCCTTTTAAAAATAAGATAGTAAAGCTTAGCCTCTAATGAACATTATCCAGAAAACAGGTACTAAGCTAGATTAGCAAGACACCACCAAATGATCTAGCAAACCCAAAATAATACTTACGCAGCAGCTTGTGAAAAGCTTCTTTCTTTAAAAAAGTTATGGGTTTTTTTTGGTTTGTTTTTTTTTTTTAATGAGACCCATGACATTAAGGACTGCCTTCAGATAATGTAAAGGATCAATTCTATCTTTGTCTGTACTTGCAAAAACTCAGGGCACAGGGGTAGAGCACTACATTTGCTTTTATGTGAATAAGCCTTGCCCATAATATAATGGTAGCTAGGCAAGTCATCCCCTATCAGCGTGTAGG